CCCGCCGGCCGCCCTTGCCGGGTCCCGCCCCCCGCCCCACCTCTCCTTGCCAGGCCTTCATGGCAGCCTCCGCTTTCACTGCCCCCCCATTTGTCACCCACTTAGCACCCTTATACTACATAATGTGCACCCGCAGGGAGTGGGGGCGTCCCAGCCGACCTGCACCCCCACTCTTCAGTGTGGAAAATCTCTGATCCCACTTAGGGGAAAAAAGAAATAAAACTATTTTTAAAAGACCCTGAACTATCAATTTCTGTTGTCACTCTTTTATTGGTTTTTAATTCTCCGGGATTACAGGAACAGCAGCAGTAATTAATACGAAACCTTCCTCTACTGTATATGCTAATGGCAGGAGCCATAAAAATTAATTTGCAAACATGTCATTACACAATAGCTGTACAGGCAATAAACCTGTAATTATGGCCAATAGCAGGCAGGGTACAGAGGGAGGGACGCTCCCCCAATCTGCTGGGTGCCCCCCTTCCCCTGCCAAAGTGGGGAGGCTGATGCAGGGGAGGAGCTGGCCTTCCGGGTGCCACCTGTGGAGGGCGCTCTCTGCCCCAGGGCTGGGACAGGGTCCCCAGTCAGGAGCCCCAGGGCCTGGCTTCTGTGCCAGCCACCTGCAAACAGGAGCAGTGACCCCCCCACACCCCAGAGACTCAGACAGAGGCAAGGCGGGCCCTGGAGCCCTTCCAGGCCTGGCTGGCTGGGAAGGAGAGGTAGAGAGAGGGGAGACCCGGGTGGGGGGGGCAGCTCTGTGCTGGCACCACCCTGCCTAGCATCACCCCAGATACTGGCCAAGCCCGTGAGAGGGCAGCCTCCTCCGGCCCTGTATCTGGGCCTCTCAAAGCAGGATAGTGACATTTCCTGGTGACAGACCTTTGAAAGGGAGGAAAATGTGGGCCCCACCATAGGAGGGCCCCTACACCACAGCCACCAACCTGCTGCCATAACTCCAAGTGGCCTGCATCCAGGCCGGCCGGCAGGGAAGGGCTGCTGGGTGGACTTCCCCTGGCCATGGCCCTGGTAGCCAGGCTGGTGTCAGGAACCATCTTAGCCCGCATTCTCTGAGGGAGCCGACGGACGGCCTGGCTGGACGCTGTCGAGGAAAGGCTGGCTGTCCCCAGGCAGGCTGGGGCAGGGCCCTCTCCTTGCCCTGAGCTCACCTCTGGGGAGGGGGTCAGGCTTTCACAGAAGCGTGGCAGCCTGGGCAGACTGGACCACCCAGCACTGGGCCTCTGGTGGCCCTCTTTCAAGGCTGGGGACATTGCAGAGCACAGAGCCCAAGAGCCCACTGCCCACGCAGCAGGCCCCAGGGTCAGGCAGAAAAAAACGCACAGCTGCGTCTCTCCAGGGGTAAAGCTCTGGGGGCTGCACAACTTCCTGGGGGGAACATGAGGCCCCCACCCCTCTCGAGCTGCCCCTTTCAGTTGAGGGGTCCCTGACTCCCTCTAGCGGGGACACTGTTGCCACAGCACCGCCAAGCCGGCCAGGACAGTCACCTGAATAAAATAAAGGTCTACGGGATGTGCTGAGGACACTGGGGCTGGGATGTGGCCTGGCATGTAGCGCTGGGGCCTGGGCACTCGGGGGGACCCCCTTGGGCCTTGCCTGCTGGAGGGGGGAGCTACCCTCATGGGTTCCAGGAAAGGGACAGGGAGGTGAGGGCGTGGTGGCTGGCCTGGAACGCCTGCTCTGGGGTCAGTGGCCTCCGTTCCTTTCTTTGGGACAATAAGGCCAGGTGAGCCCTCCGGAGTGCCCCCATGACAGCTGCCGTCCTAGCACATTTCACAGGTGACCGCAGAGCTCCTGACAACCCTGTGCATGAACACCAGGAGTTCCATTTCCCTAGAGGCGAGGGCAGGTCAAACACCTTGCTCAAGGGCACACAGCCCGGAGCTCCAGAGTCTGTGTTTGAGACCCTCCAGCAGCAAAAAGTGCAGGTTTGGAGCTGGCCAGACCACACTCCAAATTCCAGCTGGCCCCACCGTGCGCATGCTCATGGACATTCTGAGTTGCAGTTTCCTCCGTGGGAAACGGGGCGAATCAGCCCTGCGTTCAGATGAGAGGAGGGGTGACAGCTCTGGCCTGGCACAGGCTCCACAAACCAGCTGTCGTCGCTCCTGAGCTCTGGAGAGCAGGGTGAAGTGGTGACAGCTGCGCCCACCGCCGCCGCCGCAGGGCCTCAGCACACCTGGGCTCCTTGCTTTCCTGGGGCCTTATCTTATCTGGGGCCGATTGCACGCCCATGTGACAGACACTGCAAGGACCATTACCCTTGCTCACGAGGCCCAGCGAAGTGAAGTCACTTGCCCAAGGGAACAGGCATATCGGGCGCTCCCTGCGCTTGGCCTCAGTCCTCCGATGCCTGGACTTCCTGTGAATGTCCTTAGCCTCGGGGTAGTCAAGACTCAGGCCAGCGTGGTCCCACCCCATGGCATGTACCTTGTCAGGGAGAGACAGAGACGGGGAGGGAGAGTGAGAGATCACCCCCGGAGGGATGGCCGCCCCACACTCTCCTTCCTGTCCTCAGGATTTTGGGGTGCACATGTGTGCACGTACACATGCCCGTTGTCTCTTTCAGGCCACCAGGTCTAGGACTGAAATGGCGCAGTCGGGCATGAGGGACCCAGCGCCTTAACCCCCACGCCACTGGCTGGCCAGCAATGACCGGTGTTCTTACAGAAAGGATGACACACGGGGGACGGCCACGGAAGACGGAGGCAGAGTGCAGCAGCATGACGAGCCAAGGAACGCCCGGAACCCAGGACTGGAAGAGGCAAGAGGAGCCTCCCCAGGAGGCTGGGAGGGAGCACGGCCCTGCTGACCTGGACCGCGGGCTCCGGGCTCCCGGAACGGAGAGCACGTTTGTGCTTGCAGTAATTGGCCTCGGCAGCCACAGGACACGCAGGCGCCCTGCTGCTTCTGTGAGAGTGGCATGTCCTCCGTCCTGTCCACCCTGCGAGGCTGGCCACAGTCCATCC